AGAAAACCAACCAGAAAGAAATAACGAAATGGCAGATGAAATTGCTGAACAATTTGAACACTTAATTACTGGATTAAATATCTTAGTACATGCTATAGGACAAGATAACAAAGAAGTCAAATATGCAAAAATAGTTGATTTCTATAGAGACACTCAAGATCCAGTTGGATGACTACAAGATTTTGAAAATGCATGCCAAGCTAATGCAATTAGCGATGATAGAAAGATGCAAATAGTTGGAGCTTACTTGAAAGAAGCTGCTACCACTTGGCTCATCAACAAAAGAATGCTTGCAAATTGGTTCACACAATGAAATCCAGCTGATCAAAATGCTAATAGTTTACTTGCTTCATTCACACACCAATTTACAGAGACCTTTCAGAATATTGTGAACATTTTTTAAAATACAATAACGCAAAAACTAATAAAAAAGCAAGATTTATGATTCTAAGCTAATAGAATCATTAAAACATATTGTATATTGTATCAAAATTTTAAGTAATTTCAATAACTAGTTCAAAAAATATATATAAATATATAAAAAATAAAATTAAGTATCAAACCAAAATTTATGTGAAAAAAATATTATTTTACAAAAATTCAAATAACTTGCATCTAGTAAATCAAATTAAATAAATTTTTATACATAATTTTTCCAAGATATGACGCATCTAATAATATTAAAATCATTTAATTTGGATCACTAGATACGGAGATATCACATCTAAAAGATAACGTACTAAACTGGAATAAATTTTTTAAGAAAATAGTTTTTTGTGAATATCTTCACATCCAATTAACCAAATTAGATGATTTTTATATCATCAGATTCGTCTTGTTTATGTGAATCTAGTGATAACAAAATCATCAAATTTGATATAATGTACAATAAGTTTCAATGATTCTATTAGCTTAGGATCATAAATTTTGCTTTTTTATTAGTTTTTGTATTATTATATTTTAAAAAGTGTTCACAATATTCTGGGATGTCTCTGTATATATATATATATATTTAAATTTGATTAATATTTATAGTAATTATTTGCTATTATTAGTTAAAGCTAAATATAAGAATAAATTAATTCAAGTTCAAAAATATTGTTATAATAAATAAATTATTCTAAATATAATAATTATTAAAAAAATAAATAAAGTTAAAGTTCAATAAAATAAAGTAAACTCATATTAAAACAAAGAATTTTCAGAAATAAATTTATTAACAAAAACTTAGTATAATAAAAATAATATATAGTATTTTATAATATTAAGTAAAGCTTATTTTTGAATAATTTGAGAATTTAAATTATTAAATTTTAATTATATTGCAAAAATATTTATATTATTACAAACAAATTTATAGAGCTAAAAAAATATTGATAGTTTAATAAAGAATGTGTAAAAATTTAAATAGATCTCTTTAAAAAATTGATCAATATTAAATATTTGCAAAAGACAATTTTGAAGAATCATTATATAATTATAAATAAGATTATAAAGAAAATAAACTCAAATAAAGTAATAAATATTGTATTTAAAATTAATACAAATTACATTAATATATATATATATTATATGAATATTAAAAAGAAAAATTATACAAGTTGCATAAGTATAGTAATTAAAAAGTTTACTAGATATAAATTGTATTTAAAATTCATTTTAAAACTTGATTTAATATTAAAAAAAGTATTAAAAGTAAATTTTAATTAATTTCTTTGATATTTTGAATAAATAATTTATATTATCATAATTTATTATTTAAATTACTTTAAATATATTATATTTTATTAGCTAAAATATAATTTATATGGAGTATATTATATAATAAAAAAGTATATTATATAATAATATTTTATATAAAAATAATAGTTTTAATTAGAATTAGCCTATATTAATTAAAATTATAAGATAAATATATTATATTCTATTTACTTTATAAATTATATATCAAACTGAATATAATTCATGAAAAATATAATATTATAAAAGAATATTTTAAATAACAAATTATAATATTAATAATTATTTTGTAGAATGAGATTATATTAAAATTAATTAAATTGCTAGCTCAATTTGTATTAAATCTAAAAAAAGTAAAAAATAATAAAATTAATAATATTATATGAAATATTATTAGTGCTCAGAAAGGAGTAGAACTTTGAAAAGCTCAGCTTATTAACTTGTATATGACTCATATATATATAATTTAATTAATAGAATTTAAACTCATATTATTAAATTATATATAAAATTTTAATTCAAAAGACTTAAAAACTAGCTCATTATAAGTTTTAGTAATAAGCTCAGTCATATTATGATTCTCATATTAATAATATAATTTAAGACTAGTATCAAAGATAATATTTAAATTATAATAGATAAAAATATCTAAAGAGAGTAAATGCACACAAAAAAAACTAATAAGAATGAATATATTAAATTATTAGTGAATTTATTTTTTTGAATGTTAAATTAATATTTTTAATATTATAATTATTATAAAAGTAAAATTGATATGCAAAAGATTCTTTACTATTATTATTATTTTATTTTATTCTTATCATTATAACCAAATATATTATTTTATAATTGATAATTTTATTAAGTAGATTGAATAATATTTTAAATATTTTAAGCAAAGAAAAATAAAGATTTAAAAGAATTTTAGATATTAATATATTATTTGAAAATTATTTATTTTAATATCTTTCTGAAAAAATGAAAGCTAAATTTAATATAAGATCAATAATTTTGTCCTTATCTTTAACAATAAATTTAAAAAGTTCACAAAAATCTAACAAAAAAAGAAAATCAAATAATGATGAGTCAAAGAATGATAATACTAAATTGAGTAGTAATTTCTCAAAAGAAACTACTAGTAGATTATCAAAAAATTATATAATAAGAGATATTGTTAAAGAAAATATTATTAATAAAATTTAAAAAATAATATAAATATATAATCTAATAATAATATTTATAATAGCTATTATTTATTGTATTTTCTAAATACATATACTAGTGATATTGTAAGATAATATAATAATCTTTTAATAAATTTTACAATGCATAATAACTAGCATTTATTATAGCTTTCATATATCTATAATTTATATAAATATATATTTAGAAGAGATAAAATTTTGAACAATAACTTCTAAATGAGATTACAGTTTCTATATTTCACAAAATGAATTGAATGAATTGTTAAATGTTCTCTTAATATAACAGTTTGCAATTTCTATATTAGTATTTTTATAAAAATTTGACTTCAATTGGCACTCTGAGTATAGTGATCTATAATATTATAATATACAAACAGTTAATATTATCTCATTTAAATCAAATTTTGAGTATGCCAAGTTTTCTTATCAAATAAAAAAAAGTGTATCCAGAATGAGAAGTAAATTTACCCCCTCGGAGTGTTATTGAAATGTCCTAAAAGGGTATCTGGAGTAAGCCAAAAATTTATTACAGTCCAAAAATTAAAAATCATCAAATTCCACATTCATTGGCACTCCGAGTACCCCGGAAAGTTTAAAAAAAAGTGTCATTTTACTGGTGTAGGAAATGGAAATCGTTTTAAATCTGGAGCTATCGCTATATTTTATTGATTTTTCAATTACAGTTGAACCTCGATATAATGGATCTTGATATAAGAGAAATGAAAAATATTCCAGCTCAGATTAGATCAAATAAATAATTGGTTGATATAAAAGAATTTTATAATAAACCTTGATATATTGTATAATGAATAAAATTTCTATTTCAAACAATTAAATATAGCTTATATAGCTTGATATAACAAAATACCTTTGTGTACCAATAAAATTTTTATATAACGATAACTTTTTTTTGGTTAACAGATAATCTATTTTATTCCTATTGACAAATGGATAATAATCCTACTTTCAAAAAACGCAAAGCACTTACTCAAGCAGAAAAATATACTCTTTGTCTCAGAAAAAAATAAACCAAGTCTTACTTTAAAAGAATTGGCTATAGAATTTGGCAACATTGGTGTATCAACAGTTGGCGAAATTTTGGCCAAATCAACAAAATGGTTAGCAATTGATCCAATTATGGCTTCTTCATCTCTCAAGCGAATTAAACAACCTACATATCCAGCTATTGATAATGCAGTAGCATTATGGGCACAATATGTTATCGAAAGCAAACATTAACGGATTATCTTCTTCAAGAAAGTACCAAAAAGTTTGCCAATTTGTTGAATATCTCAGAATTTACAGCATAAAATGGTTGGTTAGCCAATTTCAAAATTCGACATGGAATTAAAGAATATAAACATGATGAAGAATCTGATAGTGCATCATTATCCGATTTGCCAGGCCATTGAATAACAATTCAAACCATTATTCAAAGCTATTTTCCTGATGATGTTTTTCATTGTGACGAGGTTGCTTTGTATTATCGACTTGAACTTTCACGTACTTTGGTTACTGGACCTGTCGCTGGCACTAAAAAACGCAAAGATCATATTACAATTATGTTAACGATGAATGTAAATGGTACCGAAAAATTTCTATCCACAAATTTAAAAATTCGCATGCAATTCATAAGATTGAGAAGAAAGATTTGTCAGTTGATTACTATTGGAATAAGACTGCATGGCTGCAAATATCTATATGGAATGATTATTTACGCAAACTCAATTCCAAAATGCATCGTGAAAGAAGAAACATCCTTTTATTAACTGATAATGCACCTGCTCACGCAACGAGATCATTAATATATTAACTAATATTAATGTGCAGTACCTAACAGCAAATACAAGTGCACATTTACAACCATTGGATGTGGGTATCATCAAAAGTTTTAAGATATAATTAATTTAATAATTTTTATGTTTTGATTTTTGATATTACTTTAATTCTTTTGTATTCAGGCTCAATATCGCTGACTTCTAATCCAAAATCATATTATCGCTTATGATGAGGCGCGTCAAAGTAATCGAGAACCTGCCATAGTTACAATTCGGCATGTTGTTGATTTTTGTGCATATGCATGGGATGCTGTAACACCACGAACAATTCACAATTGTTGGATTAAGACAGGAATTCTTCTTAGTTCACCACGTTGGGGCAATTGATCTTTTTCAATCAGAACTTGATGAAGATACTGAATTTGATTTGTACGATCTAATGCAACAATTACCCATTGATGACAGACTTACTACAACCGAGTTCGTGAACATTAATGATCACATGCCAACTACAGCAATTCCAACTCCCGAAGAAATTCTCACATCATTGCGAGAACCAGAAGATGATGATGAAGAATTACCAATGAAGATATCACTTAGCGAAGCCAAGGTATTGTTGAAAAATTTGGCACTTTTTTTAGCCAATCCGCCCGATGGTTTCGTTCTTGAGAAGGGGATGTAAGGGTAGTGGAATCGTTAAAAAAAAGTTATGGATCGAATTATTAATTCCCAAGCACAAACGTCACTTGATTCATTTTGGTCAGTGATCTTTCTTTATTTGGAGAGTAATGTTTGCGTAATGAAGAGTCAGTAAGGTTTTTAATTTTATTACGAGCGATTTCAAAAAACAATATCATCAAAAATAATACTGATACATTAATATTGTAAGCCCAGGCTACATCACGTGGCTCGAAACTCAGTATAAATGGCAAGTGGAGTCCAATATTGCACACGCCATAAAAGCGTATCCACTCAGGATGATGAATAACAATATCTTCGCACATCTCTGTGCCATTATCGTTATTGTTTGAATTTCCCAACCTAAAATAATACGACAGTTTCCACTTCCTGCATCATGAAAATATCCTATCAATTCGCGAGTATATTTTATATCATTGTAATAATATGTAAGAATCACAGTGAAAGTCGTGGATGACATTTTATTGTTATCATTATCGCCGTCGAATTATAAATGTGTTGGCAAAACGGCGCACGTGCCATGGTTGAATTGTGGTTCGCCATATAATTTGATATACCGGAATTCGCTATATAAAGGTATTCGATATACTGGAATTCGTTATATAAAAGTATTTGATATACCGAATATTCTTTGTATATACCCAGAAAATATCGAGGTTCAACTGTGTGTAATCTTACTTTTTAGTAAACAAAGAGTGCAATTGGTTAATTCACGCACGCGGACAAACGGAAATTGCCACGTGACCACAATTTTCACAGTAAACGTAAAAATAGAATGTCCTTCGCTACGCTCCAGACCATTATGGAAATATCTCTGACTGTAATATCAGGATTGTCAATTTTACTGTCCAATGGAAACAGTCCCATTGGACACAAATTAAATTTACTATGTTCAATGAATAACAATAATGATAAATTACATGTCTCGATATTGATATTATCGCTAAATTATTACTAAAATGGTCTTCGTGTAATAATAAAACTCGTTCACCGTGTAGGTGAAGTTCGATGACATTCCGCATAAAAATGATACCCAAATTTTCCAAAACTTTGTTTGTGAATTTTGAACGAGAACTTGTCCATGCTTAGCAAGTTATAACACAATAAATTCTAATAATAAAAATTTTCCTCAGGTTCTAGTCTGGTTACTTTCAAATTTCATAAAGTTCGAGGCATTAATTCACGCGATATTGTGCAAGACGTAAATTTCTTTTTGACCAAATTTTACTGTTACAAGATTCAACAAGTTTTATATCGTTAACGTTATTGCATAAAGATCTTATTATTGACTTTTTATAGTCCATGTACAATATTTATTCATTATTTTAAGTGATATTTTTGGTCAATCACTGTATAAATTTCATGTTCAACCCGATAAAATTTCTCTAAACAGTGTTTTTCGTTTGTCATCTTTAGCTAAAATTGTTGAATGAAACGCTGTCTAATGATATACCTTTGATGCTTCTTTATAGTGTTTTTCTTTTTTGCATTTCTCTTTTATTGTAATCACTCGACACCTCAGGATCCAATTCGGAATTTTTGGTCTTTTATTCGAAATTAAAATATTGGCATTAGATTTCCTAACACTAAGCTTTTACGTAATACGTATCAATCATTCATTTTGTCAAGAGTAGAAAACATTCACAAGAAAGCAAAAAAACTGGATTACGTATTTCCAATACTTCGATTCCCTGTATTTATATATATACGGAAATTTTCTGGAGAATTTAAAAATCACTTATGTAGATTCAATCGATTAAAACGGATTAGTTTAACGGATTTATTATCGTTATTACGAATTTTGTGATTATAACTCACTAATAATACATAATGTGCTACAGAATTTCAAAACCCATCAAATAAAATAAATCTTAAACTGAGCACATTTCAATTGTGACAAAATCTTTGTTACTGGAAATCAGCGTACGTATTCATATAATATTGGATCTTGTGGGATCGGGTCCGTAATATATTGTGGTTTCTTATGTCCAGAATGACAATTACACGGAGCCCGAATACATTCACAGGTCGCTGGTTTGCCAAGAGGAGTCGATTCGATAAAGTTGAAGGCGAAAATGATGAATAAAAGTGTGAAAGTGACAAAGCTAAGGAGCTTGAATACTGCTTTTGGCGTTGCCATGTTTAGTTCGTTTGATAAAAAAAGATAAATAGTTTGGATTTTGAATTTCTTTTTTACTTACTCCTCTAGCTACTTCTCTAGTTATTTATACTTTATTTTTCATATTCTTTTTTTCCCTCCTCTCTCCTGGAATATTAACAGCGAACGTTATGCACTCCTGCAACAACGATAATACGTAATGTATCTACACGTGTGATTTTTTTTAATAAACTAAACTGATTAAATACGCTTTGAGAAAGTACAAAGGCTGAATGACATTTCTAACAATGCTACAAATAAATCAACATCAACAATCAATAAATAATGTTCGAATCTGTCATAATTGTAGAGTTCAAGTTCTCATTGTTTTTTAACACAACTTCCACGCAGATAAATCATCATCATTGTTAGCTCGTTTATTTTACCATCATTCAATGTTTTAAATCACTAAAATCATTTATAGAATATAAAATTTCGAATACTCGTGATTACAGTAAATGTAGAGATCGTCAATACTACTGAGATAAGTGTTTAAATCATAATAAGCACGTTGCTTTTTTGTTTTCTAATACAATGAAGTTTCCCAAAATATATCAGTAATCCAGCTACAAATGAATAACATATTTAAAAGGATATCATTGTCGTTAATACATCTATTTAAATTAGATTAATTTCATTGCATGCATAATTATAAAAAAAGAACCTGCACATCTACGTATGAAGCTTTGTAAAAGTTTATTGTATAATTATACATTGTCACAAAAATCTTATTAATTGAAACTCGAAAATTGTTCATGTCTGCTCAAAATACTCGATAATCCCTGGTGAATGGGACATGCTTGTATCATAATCAATCAAGTCGTTAGATAGTTAAAAAGTGTAGCCTGGTCTACTCAAAAAACTAGTTTACCTAGTTAAAAAAACTCGAAGTTTGCTGCAGTTTATTATTTAAGGAATCTCTATACAGATCAATATCGATATGCTAATGATAATAACGTATTTATCTATCGCTATGGAATTATGAATTTGTGCATATTTCAGCCTTAAAAAAGATACGAACATTCAGATCTGATATTTGTGTCACTAATAATGTGTGCAACAGAATGAGTAAATAAATCCCTATTTAAGTGTCTGCGACTAACGTTTAACGTTAGCGATCAGCAATTTCGACATGTGACAAGAGCATTTCTAGCATTTCAGTAACAAGAAATACAAAATCCATGAAATTAGTATGTAAGGGGTAATAAATCAATACTTTATTCTTCTAATTTCAGAAAAAATGACTTCCTTAATTAAATTTTTTGCATCTTTTAGTATTAGTGATTGGCTCAATTTTCTAGCCATCGCAATTCTCTTATATATTCTAAGCTTTTACTACTATTATTTTACGCGTGAAAATCCTCTTCCTGGTCCGTTTCCTTTACCTGTTATCGGCAGCCTCTACCAAAATCCAGGACACATGGCAAAATGGATTGAAGATTTGCACAAAAAACATGGTGACATGTTTGAAATCTGGGTCCGTTCACAACGTCAAATATGGTTAAACAACGCCGACCTTATTGCCAAAACTACCCTGTTGTCAAACAAGACTGCCTTTGTTGTTCGTTATTCGCATGGTTCGGGATTGGAGGAATGGGGTGATACTACTGGAATATCGTTTAATCGTGTTCCATCAAGTTGGCGATATAACAGAAAATTGGTTGAAAATGCGGTGAATTCGCCCAGTTTTCTTAAAGAATTCACCGGAATGATGCAACAACATTTCGGGAAATTGGAGACGTATTGGAAAGAAATAGGATTAGATAAACCACAAGATATTCAACTCTGGGTGAATCATTTTATTTCCGATATGTTTTATATTACCACGACAGGAAAGCATGTTAATTTTATGGCGAAATACTTTAATAGTCTTTCGACAAACAAAAAGATTGACATTTCTGCAAGCGATTCAGAAGTAATTGCGAAATTCGTAACCGCAGTAAATTTGGCATCCGAATCAATCTTATTTTACACTACTGTTCCTAAGATTCTCAGAAGAACAATTTATCATAATCTATCTAAGAAATACCATGCAGCTCATGACACGATGAAAGAGCTACTCGTCGAGATCATTCGGAATCGAAGAAAGAAAATCTATGCTACACCAATTGGCACCCCAATTAAAGCTGATGTTTTGAATTCATTAATTATCGCCAATACGGAACGAGATATTTCTCACAAGACGGATGATGAATTTTCAAGACCTGCGACAGATGAAGAAATTCAAGCAGATCTTTTTGAAACTATTTTAGCATCTGTCTCGACGGTTAGTTTACTTTATTTTCTTCTTATCATGCAAATTTAAAAACCCGATGGATTGAAGTGATTATTTTTTTTAAAGACGACAACTGCATTCGCATTTTTCATCCAATACGTTGGCCGTGACAAAAATGTCGCGAAAAAGCTTCAAGATGAAATCGACGCAGTCTTTCCTGGTGATCCAAATAGTGAATGCTCATATGAAGGTTTCAAAAAACTTGAATATATCGAAGCAACTCTCAATGAGTGTAATGAAGTCTCAAATTGATTGGTTTTGATTTCACGACTTTGATTTCACGACTTTAATTTTAATTCTCGTCTTTTGTTAGCGATGCGTCTTCAATCTACTGCTCCAATCATATTTCGAACGAATAACGAACGGACTGAAGTTGGAGGATTTTCTTGGAAACCAGACACCCAGTTTGGCGTAAATGTTCAATCCGTGCATTTTAGTTCTGATTTATGGGAAGATGCTGATAAATTCATTCCGGAGCGACATCTTGTATTTGATAAAGGGTTGAAAAGAAAGTTCTATCCATTTGGAGGTGGATTACATATTTGCCCTGGACGCATTTGTGGCATGGCTCTTTTAAAGGTGCTAGTGGTGTTATTCTTTCGGAAATATAACGTGGAATTGGTGGATCCTAATACATCAATTAAAACTAGTCATGACTTTACTCTTCATTGTCATGATGCGATAGTGCGTCTTAGACCACGAGCTATAAATAAGACATAGCGATAGTATGCAACAACTAGAGTATGGTAATGTAAAAATATATAATATATATCTAACAACTAAGCCAATGGTTTCAACAGCCAGTGAGTGTTTTAGCAGCTTCAATCCCTATTAGCATCGCGATTAATTTTTTTATGAACTCCACTCTAAAGTTCGGATCATGTGATAGTTTTTGATGATGTCAGCGATGATGACCAATTAAATCACAAGATCAACGTGTAACCCAAAAATTCGTAACACCATTTCGACGATCCTCTTAATTTTGGGCTGCATTATCGTTATAGGTCCAATGTTCTCTCAATCACGAATCTCTCCCAAACAATGTTAGTACATGTATATACATGTAATTATATCTGGCATTCTCTCTTTTTTAATCATGATTCTTTTTTTATCACGATTCTCTCTTAAACATTTTATCTTACATTTTCTTTTATGTATGTCACATTCTCTCTCTTAAACATTACCTTAATTTGTCTTGCATTTTCTTTTTAATTGTTACGAGCTCTCTCTCACAAACAAAACCCTTAATTATATCTTACATTCTTTCTTAAACAATGCTTTTAATGTCCTCTCTGAATTGTATTATTTCTTTTTGTTTAATCTTGATCGTAGTCTTATAGAAAAATAATACTGCTATATAAAACTCAAAAAAAATGTATATAAGAAAGGTCTACGGGCCTCAATAAAGCTCAGAATTGTTGCACACAATTATTCTCCAATTAAAATACGACTTGTAAAATTCTCGTAATATTGATTGAATTAACTGACGGTTAGGACCGGACCTTGATCCAGAAAAGGCATTGTTTAAAGATCGACAACAGTAATCGCTCTTGGTAAAAACACGCATAATAGAAACCCCATTAGTTTAGAAATTAATAAAGGAAACATTTTAAAATAAACCTACCTAAAATCCAACGCGAACTAATAAGATATCCATAAAATTCTTGCTCTCCCAAAACTCAGGTTAAAATGAAATCAGGTTAAAACGAAATAGGGTAGCGGTAGAGTGTTTAAATAATCATAGGTCAATATAATAGAGATTTTAATACCATACTCTATACTCTAAGCCACACTTAACCTTTTTCAGAATTCTCACCCTTCCAAAAAAAGATCCAAATTTCATTTAATTTGATTTCATTTTAATCTGTCACAATAAATGTCTTGCGAAATTTTATTATAAATACATTTTTTGTTTGCCAGATAATCTTGATCCAAATCCAAATCCTAACTCTTTTCGCATAGTAAACTAATACAGTGGCTCACTTTTGAAAACATACACAGAAAAAAAATGGCGAAATTCGAATATCTCGCCATTGAAGAATCATCCATGACCAAAAGCAATTTAATTACATTTATTAAAATGCAAGTATCATTTATAATTGAGTTTATTGTTTGATATGGTTATAATAAAAAAAATAAAAATTTTTAATTATTTTCGCGTACGATATAATATGACCGAATCCATAAAACCTTACAAGCTCAGTATAAACAGCTTTTTTTTTGTTTTAATCATAATTAACAAACTTCCCCCATTCCAATAACAATATTAACCACTTTTTTTTTAATTAAATGCCTCAAATTTCACTTACAAAATGCTTCCGCATATACACACTTCATCAAGAAGGATACACAGTGTGAGAAATTGCAGCATCAGAACAAGTAAACTTAGATTCAGTTTCACATATATTCAAGAAGAAAAAAGAAACTGGGAACTTCGAAGATAAGCCAAAATCTGACCGTCTGGTACTCTTTCTGATCACTATAAATGAAATGCTGTTTAATTGATAATGTCTGGAAAATGCTCCACTGCTGTTGAAGTTCAACGCAGACTTCAAATTGACATAGAAATCAATTTATCTGTGAAGAGCATATGACATATACTCAGAAGACATGGATTATTCACCAGAATAAAATGCAAAAAACTACTGCTTACAAAGACACACAGAAAATGCTGACTTACCTGAGCAAATAAATGTTAAAATTAAATAATTGATGATTGGTAGTAAATAATCTGATCTGATAAAAGCAAGTACCAGATCTTTGGATCAGATGGATGGAAATATTATTGGAAGAAGCCTAGTAAATCTTTAAAAGACCAGCATTTTATATCTATAGTGAAGTTTGATAGTGATTCAATTATGGTATGGGGTTGTATGAGTGCTAATGAAGTTGATGAACTCTAAAAAATTGATGACAAGATGAATGCAGATGTTTACATCGATATATTAAATACAAATTTGTTAGATTCACTTTTGGAGATTATGCTAAAAAGGATGAAATTTTTTTCCAGCAAGATAATGATTTGAAACATATTTTCAAAAAAGCAAAAGATTGGTTTCACAAAAATATGATCACAGTTCTTGATTAATCTTCTAACTTGAACCCTATCGAGAATTTATGGAATGAAGTTGATATTTGTATGCAGAGACTTCTCAGTTTACTTTTTAATAGAGATGAACTATGAGAAAAATTACAAATTGTATGAAATAGTATTGATATTAATTTCTGCAAAAAATTAATCAAATTCATGCTAAAACAAGTTAGAGAAGGGATACAAGCAAAGAGGAAGAGAAAGTATAAATTAGTAATTTTAGTTTAGTAATGTATAATATTTTTTTGACAGCTACTAATATTTTCTTAATGAGAAATTGGTCCTTAAATATTTTTTTTGTCTAAATTGATCATATTATATCATATGTGAAAATATTTTAAAATTTATATTTTTTTTATTATCAAACAATAAACTCAATTGTAAATGATACTTGATATTTTAATAAATTACTTTTAATCATGAATGATTTTTCAATGGCAAAATATTCAAATTTTGTCATTTTTTTCTGTATATATTTTCAAAAGTGAGTACTGTAACAAAAAAATTTCTGATCACATAATCTCTGATCCTGATACTAATCAGCTGATACAGTGACTCACATATATAACTGAATATGAATGTAAGAATACTTTCTTACGTGAAAAGTAATAAGATAAATTTATTAATTGTTATAAATAAATTATATCAATTGAGACAGTTTTCAGTTTTAATTTTAATAAAGCTTATTTCTTTATTTATTAAATAGTGA